TCGTGTTACTTGTGCACGCAGTTTGGGGATCCAGAATTGTTCTCGTACGATTGACATTGTGTGGCTAACGCCTGGGTGTCTTTTTTTGTGACAATCCTCTATGATTGTTTGTGCATGCCAAGTATTCTGAAATACGAGCAAAGGGTTCTTGGCATCTTTGCTTAAATCGCTGTTTTGTAGTCGTCCAAAACATCGGAGCAAACCTTCTTTGTCTGGTTTGACGTTGAGATTCTTCATAGTCTGGAGCATAGACGTGGTTACTGTTGACGACTGATGCTGTCTGACCAGTACTTTTCCAGCTATAGTAATTTCTTCACCAGAGATGTTGGGATTCAGGTTAACGTCCGTGGTACTTAGAAGTGTGGAAAGTTTGATACGGTGTTGTCTACGAATGATCACCTTGGCAACTGAGATTTGAATGAAGCGTATAATTACTGCTACGATTCTTTTAACATTTGTCAGGAAGTGTTTTCCCAATGGGGTAAAGATATCGTTTCCGTTCTGCTTGTCTGAGTGATTGTGCCTTGAGAGAAACAGTTTCTGTTCTTCGTGAGGAAATTCCTGGGATATCGTGCCTATTGGATTATTGTAAAGTTTTGGATCCTTTTCCAAAGAACCTTCGTTATGCTTAAAGGTGTTGCAAATGATTTCCCAATTGTCTGGTGGTTCTTGCAGAAGGGGTGGTCCGACCCACCAGAAGTGGTCGAGCAATTCCTTCTGACTAAGACCACGAATTGCACAGTCCGCTGCGTTATAACGTGATGGGACGTGACCGAAAAGTATGCGATAACCGTTCATTTGTATGTGGTCGACGAGCCTCTCGATTTCCAGTAGTCTGTTGAATATTCTGAGTCCAACGTTCTTCAGTTGTTTGCGCTTTATCCAGCTAAGTACGTACTCCGAGTCCGAAAGGAAGAAAATTTCTTGGATTTCTAAGGTTTTTCGGAGTTGAGTCAGTACCGCGCTGGTTAATCGCATAGCTATGGTTACCGCATCCAGCTCCATTTTTGGAACAGTTGATGTAGATTTTAAGGACGGCAGTTTGCTTTTTGCCATGAGAAGATTGGTTGAATTTTCGGAGCATAGATAAGTGCAGGTGGCCAGAGCTTCAACGCTGGCTTTGGCGAAGGTTGCTAGAATGTATTTTGTATTTTTTGTTCCAAGACAACGTGGTAGAGGCTTCGTGAAACCTTGCATTTCCGTGCATATGGCTAACCATTCGTTCTTGCGGGCATCTGGTAGAATATGGTCCCAGTTGTACTCGTCTTTCCATAGGCTGCATAGGAATACCTTTGCTTTATGGAGTAAAGGTGTTAGAGCCCATAGGGTCGTATACCGAAGCTAATGTGCTAGCCACCGTTCGCTTGGTGATACGTTGATTTGCTTTTGTCATGCTTGTTATCAGCAAACAGTCGGAGTCAGTGTTCCATGGTATTCCCAGTACTTTCGGTAATTGGGTGTCCGCTTTATCATCATCGGAGGGTATTTTTGCCATTAGGTCAATATTATTGGAAGCGAATTCGCGTAAATTCATGTTGAGGTTATTGAATATTTGTTTTGTGCGTAGGTAGCTCTGAAATGCTTCTTCGGGGTCATCGAGGGTTACGACAAGGTTGTCCACGTATAAGTTGTCTTTAACTTGCGTTACTAATTCTGCTTCTTCTTTATATTGATCAAGATGAAAATGTATTGTTCCGGCCAAAAGAAATGGTGATGTATTTAATCCGAAAATAACTCTGGTGAATCGTAAGGTTTTGTTCGGAAATGGTGGTAGCCTGTAATCATGTAGCCAAAGGCATCGTGTGGCATCGCGATCATCCTCATGGAGTCGGACTTGAAGGAAGGCCTTCTTAACGTCTGATGTAATCGCGATTCGTCCTATTCTGAAGCGAAGGAGGATTTCAAACAATTGTGAGAGGATTACTGGTCCTCTGTGTAATACGTCGTTGAGTGATGGGCATCCCTTGTAGTGTGCTGATGCATCAAAAACTATTCTGATCTTAGTGGTATTTTTATTAAGAGTTAAGACTGCTTGGTGAGGAATGTAATGAACTCGGAAGCTTTGTGGCGTTTCCTGTTCGTTGATTTCTTCTAGGATGTGCCGGCTGAGCTGTTCTTCGAATATGCCATCGTACCTGTCGAGCAGATCTTTGTTGTTTTGTAGGGATTTCCAAACACTTATGAGTCTATTGAGTGCAATTGCTCTATTATCAGGTAGTGATAGCTGTATGTCTTTCCAAGGTAGACGAACGTAATATCCGTCTAATCTTTTTTCAATGGTTTTGTTGAAGGTTTCCCATACGTGCTGATCTGTCAATGCTTTTTCCATTTTTGCGGAGTTTGTGAATTCTTCTGTTTCGGCAGATTCGAGGGTCCAAAATTGTTCCCATTTGACTGCTTCGTTCTCATCCGTCTCTGAGTCTTCAGTAAGGCAAGCATGGACTTGACATTCTAGCGTCCGAGGCTTATTGCACTTATTCATTTCCTCTTCATCGACTTGCACGTATAGTGCCCAGTATTGATCCCATTTGTCTAGTTCATCCTTTAAATCCTGTATGGGCAATGTGTTTCCTTCTTCGCTGTGTTGTACTTGTAATAACATATTATCATTTTCTTTTTGTAGCGCAGGATTTTTTAGTTGTCCTGTACATAAATGACCTAGACGCGTTGGGATAAGATGTAACCCGGATGGTAGTTTAATGTGCGGTTTATCGTTTTTCATCGGAGTCCACAGTTGATCGCATCCGAGTAGAATGGCAGGTTGGACCACGGGCCTTGTTTCACTTATCTCAATTTGGAGGTTGTTTTTTACTATGAAGTCTATGTCTTCTGGACAAATTGGCGGTGGTTTAAAAGGCTTCGTTATCGCGTTATGTGTGAACAAGAATAACGATAATTGATGGCCGTTTGCGTCCCATACCTGTAATGGGACCTTTCGTGAAACGCGTTCTTGCACATTGCATGAGCCGAATGTGCTTAGCCGCAGTTTAATTACTTCTATCGTCGGTAGACCTAGCTTTCGTGCAAGATTTTCGTCGATAAAGGATAACTCTGCTCCCTTGTCCAGTAAGACGGAAACTTTCTCTAATTGTTTTGTGGTTGGGTTCATTATAGTCAATTCCCCTGTGGGTAGGAAAGTTGACTGCAGTTTTGTGCTAGATTTCGTGAAACTTTTGTCTTTGGCTGGTGTCACTTGTCCGACGTGGTTTATTTTGGACGTAGAAGTCGGTTTTTTAAGCTCTTTCTCTTTGTGTTTACTGGCGTTGGCCTCGTTTTTGGCGTTCGCATTCTTCGTAGGTGGCACGAACGTTTTCTCGTTTGGTGTCGGAAAGAGACAGCATGATGTGTGGTGACGTTTCTGGCACTTACGACATGACGACCCGTTGCACTGAATTGTGCTGTGGGATGGAGAGGCGCAAATATTGCATAGCTTATTATTTTGAAGGTACTGGTATCTTCTTTGAGGTGTTTCGTATTTACTGCAATAGAAAGGCTTATGGTCGCCTTTACAATACATGCACAAGAGCCTTGTTGTCGGCGGCTTCCAGTGTTTGCCTTTGTTGTCGAAGCTAACTGTATCTCGAAGAGGTGTTGCGCTGGTCTAGCGGCATACCTGTTCCTCGCTGGTTATAACCACTTTAAAATATTTTAGAAACTGCTTCATGGTGAAGGGTTCGTCGGGAGAAGTAATCTTTTTATGAATAACTTTACGTTGGATCCCGAATGGAAATTTCGAAAGAACCTTTTGATACATGGACTGATTGTCGACATTTTCACCTTTTTGCACTAATTGGCCTATGATGGCTTCTATGTCTTCCAATAGTCTGCGTTGCTCGTGTATGGACGACGAGTGAAGGGAGATTTTGTCCATCTTTCTGAGGAGCTGGCGAATGAGTTCTTCAGGATTACCGTACTTATTAGTGAGGAATTCTATGGCTTTTAAGTAGTTTTGCCTNGGTTCGTCGGGAGAAGTGATCTTTTTGTGAATAACTTTACGTTGGATCCCGACTGGAAATTTCGAAAGAACCTTTTGATACATGGACTGATTGTCGACATTTTCACCTTTTTGCACTAATTGGCCTATGATGGCTTCTATGTCTTCCAATAGTCTGCGTTGCTGGTGTATGGACGACGAGTGAAGGGAGATTTTGTCCATCTTTCTGAGGAGGTGGCGAATGAGTTCTTCAGAATTACCGTACTTATTAGTGAGGAATTCTATGGCTTTTAAGTAGTTTTGCCTAGTGAGTTGGAACTTCTTCATCGATTGTAGAGGTTCCCCTTTTAAGAAGTTAAGTAGGTAATTGAATTTTTGTAGCTCTGAAAGATTTTGTGAATGTACGTTTAAGTTGAAAAGCTCCCAAAAGTTATCCCAGTCCCAGTTGTCGCCATTGAATGTTGGGATTGGGATTGTGGGTAGCTCCAGATTTTTCACGACCGCGGTGACGGTGGATTCATCTTTACTACTATTCGTAGTGGAGTGTTTGTAGGATGTGTTGAGAAGCTCAGCATGAGCCTTGAAGCCATGGATCCGAGCATGAAGGAGTACAAGGTATTCGAAAGTATTGCCAATGGCTTCTTCAGCAGTAGTTGAGTACTGTGCGAACTCTTCTTCAGTATTCGGTGACGTTGGGTGTGACTTTTCGAACATGGTAGCGAGTTCACCTAGTGCGTGTTGAATCCTTGTGGTCATGTTTTCTAACGCTGCCACTGCTTCCTCTAACTGCTGTAGGCTTGTTTGAATAACGGTGGGCATTATCTCATC